GACAGACAAGGAGTCATGTCATCTCTCCCCTGTTCTGTCTGGGCAGTAAGTGCTGAGCCCCGGGGGAGTGAAAGGGCCGGCTGCTCTGAACTGGGCCATGGGATGAGAGTGTCCATGTGGCATGGGCAGGACACATCTGTACCTGTTTTTCGACCCAGACCCCACAGCTTCTGCTTGCCACAGCCCCTGTCACCTCATTTCAATGACTTTGACAGCCAGTGAATAATTCTGCCCAGTCACCTTTAAGAGAAGCCTCTAAAGCATTCCAGGACAAATGCCCCTACTTAAGGGGTGGCCCAGTGTGAACTTCTTTAGTGTCAAGAGGGGCTCTATAAGGGTCCTGTGCCTGATTCCATCTGGTCTTCTTCTGTCTCCAGTCACCAACTCTACCCGAAGACCCAGGTCCTCAACCAAACCCACTGAGCTCCTGAAACAGCTCTCGGTGTGGCATCCTAATCTCTCATGGCCCAGCCACCCACCTGCACCAAGTCATCCCAGTCCTCTTGCCCTTGAGATGGCAGGGTGCCTCCACCTCTGGTCTCCCTGCTTCCCCCCAAGTGACAATTCAGTTACGCCCTCGCTCACAAACCTGCTGTGCTTCTCCACTGTCTACAGGATAGAGGCTTGAAACGCAAGGTCTTTTACAATCTGGCCCCAATGTATTTATCCAATACGATCTGCTAACCACCATAGAACTGAAGGCATAGATTTGCTGTGAGTGATTCAAGTCACTGGTGCCACAGGAATTCAGTGGAAGGAGGTTAGTTCTAGCTAAGGACATCAGGGCAGACCTCCTAAGAGTGGTGTGTGTCGCTGGGGGTGGTGGCTCAGCTCACCCCTGTAATCCCAGCACTTTGGGAGGCCAAGGCGGGCGGATCACCTGAGGTTGGAAGTTCAAGACCAGCCTGACCAGCATGGAGGAAACCTTGTCTCACTAAAAGTACAAAATTAGCTGGGCATCACTGCAGGCTCCTGTAATCCCATCTACACGGGAGGCTGAGGCAGGAGAATCGCTTGAACCCAGAAGGCAGAAGTTGTGATTAGCTGAGATGGTGCCATTGCACTCCAGCCCAGGCAACAAGAGCAAAGCTCTGTCTCAAAAAAAAGTGGGGTGTGTGTGTGTGTATGTGTGTGTGCATACACACGCACACACCCACACTGGGGGAGATACTCAGATCATGCACTAGGCCAACTTGCATATTGCCCAGCTTGCATTCTGCCCTCCTCCTCCCTGCCTCACCCTCCCACGGGCTTGTAAGCACAAAAGACATATATTTGCAATCCACATGGATATAGGAAATGCTTTTCTGTACTTGAAGATTTGTCAAACTCCAGGCATCTAGGTCAACGACTGGAACAGAATCACAAAAGCTGGCAACTGCCTGCGACAAGTCCCCTGCTAGGGCTGTAGCAGAACGATAACGAAAGCCAGGTCTACAGAGGCTTCCTCCAAGGCTCTGGCAGGGCAGTTTGCTGGGAAGGCTTCCATTTTGCCTGCCCCTGAGCCCTGCTGCTCCACCAAAGGACTAGCACTGGGAAGAAAGAATAGCCTGAAGGTGGGGATGAAAGAGTTTTTAAAATCTCTCTTTCTGGACTCCCAGACTTTTCCGTTTGAACCCTTGGAGGGAAGTGTATAACAAGAGTTAAGAAAAAGAATCCAACCTCCTCTGCCTTCTGTGACTCTGGCAACTCTATGCCATATATCAATGGCCAGGAAGGGGAGTGGGAGAGGAAACTGAGTTGGGGAATGAAGGGACAGAAGATCAGACCAGACTAGTGGACGCCTAAACCAGCCAGCTCCTCCCTTCCCAGGCAGTGCCTCAGGCCAGAGAATGAGGGGACCAGAGCCAAAGGAATAAGAGGGAAGGGAATCAGGAAGCAAAAGATATAAATTATAGCTCTCTCCAGCTCTACCAGGAAAGCCCCTTCCCAGTGGCTGCCACCTCATCCACCTACCCAGCGAGATGTCACTACTGCAGAATCATTCTGAATGGGGTCCCTATATGCTCCAGAGAGACAGAGTAAGACCAAAAAATGGAAAACGAAACTGAGTGGTGAAGAGAGCAAGTGAGGATGAGGATGGGGAAAAATAATTAATGAGCTTGTGTTGGAATTAATTTTAAAGGAGCAAACAAAAGCAATTAATGTGGAAGGGTAGAATCCCTCACCTCAGCTGCTCCAGGGGAAGCCTCCAGGGTGACCGGAGACCTGGCTGCCTGTACTGTGTTACAAAGAAGATGGCAGTCTCTCACTTGGGGGGTGGGAGATCCAGGGAAAATGACTCACTTGTGCTCCAGGGGGAGGGGAGGAGTAACTGGGAGGCATGTCCCAGAGTAGTCATACGTGTGCCGGTGAACAACGCACACACCCAAAGACATGGAGGACAAACCTGTCAACTGCATTGCCAGCCGTAAAGGCATGCCAGGTGTGTAAAGTGCTTGTCAAAGCCTTGATGACAAGAAGTCATGGCGTGACAGGCAACGGGGAATGAAGGCCTATTCGGTGCCAAGTGCTGCCCTGGATGGCTTACAGTCTTATTTCTTTTCATCCAAACAACCCTATGAAGTAAGTATTCTTCTCTCCACTTTACAGATGTGGAAACTGAGGTTCCAAGAGGTTAAGCATAAAGGAGAGAATATGTGCCTTAAATTCCCAAAGACCTAGGTTTGAATTATGGCTCCATGACTTTCTAACTAGGTGACCCAGCTATGACACCATGCACATGTTACTTGACATCTCCAAACCTCAACTCCACACTCTATAAAATAGGAACACTACTACTTCCTTTCCAGGTCATTGTAAAAAGTGTGTAAAACAATGTATGCAAAGCTCGCTGGTAAGTGCACGTACAAAGTGTGTAGCAAGAGCTAGTGGTCTTCCCACCAGCCCGCTTCATTAAGGTCATTAGTTCTTAAGAACTCATTAGTTCAACAGTCAGTGCAGTCTCAAATGTGTGAAAAAGGAGGAAGCAAATGGAATTTATGGAAGCCCTTTTCTTTTTGAGATGGCGTTTTGCTCTTGTTGCTCTGGCAGGCGTGCAATGGCACGATCTCAGCTCACTGCAACCTCTGCCTCCCTGGTCCAAGCGATTATCCCGCCTCAGCCCCAAATAGCTGGGATTGCAAGCATGTGCCACCAAGCCCAGCTAATTTTGTATATTTAGTAGAGACAAGGTTTCTCCATGTTGGTCAGGCTGGTCTCGAACTCCCGATCTCAGGTGATCCTCCCACCTCAGCCTCCCAAAGTGCTGGGATTACAGGCGTGAGCCACTGCACCCGGCCCAGAAGCCCTTTTCTATACCAGGTACTTTACTAGGTCTTTAGGGTGGGGTGTCGAGATTAACAAGAAGAACATGACAGAGTCCCTGCCTTCCAAGAGTTTGCAACCTAGCAAGCCAAGCCCATAAATAACTATGAGAAGAGCCATGTGAGACAAAGGCAGATACAGACAAGGAGACTTGTGGCTCCTGGGGGCAACCAGGGAAGGCTGAGCGATCACATGACTTCTGAAAATGGGCAGGATTTTTGTAAGTGGAAGTAAGACAGGAGCAGGCTGCTTCTGTGGAAATGAAGGGGAGGGGGAGCAGGCTTTCAAATGGCCTCTCCTAAGGCAGGCCCTGGTGGGATGCATGGGCTACTAACCAATACATCTTTTCAGTCTCCAAGAGTGGAAGACCAAAGACATCTGCAGATTCTTTGCTGTTCCCTCCAATTGAGAAGTGGAGTCGATTCCCCACCCCAAGCATCTGGGTGGGCTCAGTTTGACCAGCCGAATGTAACAGACATGACTGTGTGTGACTTCTGAGGCTAGGGCATAAGAAACCTTGCAGTTTCCACTTGGGTCCCCTGGAACGCTCTCTTGAGACATTCTCTTTCAGAACCAACTGCCTCGCTGAGGGCAGGCCAGGCCACATGGAGAGGCCATGCGTGGTGCTCAGGTTGACAGGCCCCGCTGAGCTCCCGGATGACAGCTGGCATCCCTTGCCCGACATCTGAGCAGCCTCCCTGGAGGCCCAGCCAGTTGAGCCTTTGGAGGATGGCCCCATCTGGAGACAACCCAAGCAAGGGCCACCCCCACCCCCTCCACACAAGCCCAGTCCACCCAGAGAACCCTGGGAGAGAACCATCAGCCTTGCTCTCAGCCGCTACGTTTTGGGTGGTCTGCTATGCGCAATACATAATCAGAACGCCAAGTCTCCACCTCACCAACCTGGGCTGTTACCAGGGAAGCTGGGGCAAGGATCATACTCAAAGTGGATGTGAAAAGCAGTGAGAAAAAGAGGAACTGTGTGCTGGGAGAGGGAGAGGAGGGAATCAGTTAAACTCTCCCCATAGCCTCCAGCTCCCCAAGCCCCTCCATTCTTCCCAACTGGATGCCAGATCAATATAACCCATAATTCAGTGAACCCGCAGGGAAATAACTGGGGGAAAATCAGTATGAATAAAGACATTTATACCAGAGCTATTCATAATAGCAACAAATTGGAAACAACCCAAATTCTCAGTAATAAGAGCAATGCAGTAATAGAGTAACAGGACAGAATTACTTACAGCTACTGAAAATGGCAACTTTATAGATCATTGTCATACCTGGAGTGCTTGTATAAAATAACATTAAACAAAAAAAATTCATGACACAGGACACTAGCTACACATTAATTACAACCATACAAACACATTAGCAAAGACCAGGAGGACACAGGGAGGAGGCATATAGTTTAGCCCTTACTTACCCATTTTTAGGCAAAGTTACTTAAGCCCCACTTTTTTTAAAGTACCAGTTCAACCTCACAAATCCTAAAAATGGGGTCAGGACTGCATGAGAATTGGAAGGAGACCATATGTTGGAAGATCGGAACATGCTCTCTGTCACCAGGGAATTAGGGTAGAACCCCAGACCCAGGACAGGAGAAGGGAAGGGTGGACTGGATGACAGGGATGGAGTGAGCCGGAGGGGGTGTGGTATTTCCCAGCAGGGTAGCTGAATGTTAGAAAACATACCCTCCGTGTTTGCTGACACAGTGCAAAGAGAAGGACTCACACAAAAGGCACCCATTATCCCGTAATTATTGTCTCTCTCGTGCCTGCAATTAACGGCTGTCTGAGAGGCGGCTGCTGGGGTAAATAAATGTTCACCCGCATTAGAGTCAATCAGCCAGCTGAATCGCCAATTAACAAGCCCACTGCAGAGACACTCCCAACCAGCACAACTGCGGAGCGGCAGGGAGAAGATGAGACCGCACATCCTGGGCATGCTCCTATCCCAGCAGCAGGCAGGCGATGCTCAAAGCCACATCCTGGGCCCCAGGGGAGAAGCCAGTCCTGCCTCAAATGAGCCAAGCTGGGCAAGTAGGTATCCTGACCCCCACAGCCATGTCAGAGGGGTCTTTGTGTGCTGGTCAGCAACATTCCTGGGAGCCGCTACAGCTCTGGAGTGGTGCAGTCCTCAGCCAGTGGGAGTCTGTAGAGGAAAAAAGATGGAAGAGGAGGCCTCAGAGGTGCTGTTGCCTCCAGAGTTAGGGGAGGAGAGAAACAAGACAAACAGAGGAATCACACAGGGTGCTGACTCCCTGAAACAGACTTATACTGGCCTTAGGCTATTTTCGTTTACCAACAAGCTCAGAAACACAGAGAAGGAACTAACTTCAGAGAAGTCAGAGATGACTCTAGTAGGGAGGAGATGGGCAGGAGATGAGCGGCTCAGAGGAGGCATCCCAACTCCTCTCCCAGGGATTTGGGGAGACAGGGGTGCTTTGCAGTCCTGTATGGCGCACCTGGTACCTGGCTACAGTGCTCTACCAGCCAGCCAGGCTCTCTCTCATATTGTAGTCTGCAGCCAGCAGGGCTCAGGCTACATGACAAGAGGCCCCAGAAGATGTGTACCAGGCCACCAGGAAGCCACTTGGATCAGCAAGGCAGATCATGGTTGTTAGAGATTATCTGGTCCAGTGGTTCTCAACCCTGGCTTCACACTAGAATTACCCAGAGCACTTTCTGCTCTCTGCTTTGAGGGCTTTTAAAAAATACTGATGTCTGGGTACCCACCACAGACCAACTGAACCAGGGTCTGTGGGGGAAAGGGTAGGGGCCCAGGAAGATGCCTTTTTAAAGCACCCCCAGAGGATGCTGGTGACTACTTCAGCTCCCTTGGCTTACAGTTAAAAAACTGGGAGTCTCGTGCAGTAATACCTTGTCAAAGGTGACAAAGTCAGCAGGGAACAGAGGTGGAGCTAGACCCAGCTCGTCTGATTGCAGGGATGGAGCTCTTGGAACTGAACGTTGCTGGCTGAATAAATGAACGGGATTCTAAGCGAGCACCACAGGGATGTTCCTGATCCTGCTGTGGTCTACATTTCCATCCATGACTTGCATAAAGACCTCGAAGGCATGGTTATCAGATTTGCTACTGACAACGCTCAGAGGGAACGCTAACACAGTGATGGCAGAATCAGGATTCCATATACTGACTAACAAAAAAAGGACACCAGAAATGTAGCACCAAACAATATTTGAACTTTAAGATTTCAACTGTACATATCCAGAGGTTTGGAATGCATGTGCTTAAGAGTATGTTCCTAATAAAATGGGGAAAACACAAGTACAATCTGAGCGGCTGGGTGCAGTGGCTCACGCTTGTAATCCCAGCACTTTGAAAGGCTGAGGCAGACAGATTGTTTACGGTCAGGAGTTCAAGACCAGGCTGGCCAACATGATGAAACCCCGTCTCTACTAAAAACACAAAAATTAGCCATGTGTGGTGGTACACGCCTGTAATCCCAGATACTTGAGAGGCTGAGGAGGGAGGATCACTTGAGCCTGGGGGATGGAGGTTGCAGTGAGCTGAGATTACACCACTGCATTCTAGCCTGGGGTGACAGAGTGAGACTCCATCTCAAAAAAAAAAGAAAGAAAGAAAATGAGTATTTTATAAAAACATTATGAGTTGGTGGGCACAGTGGTGCACGCCTATAGTCCCAGCTACTTGGGAGGCTGAGGTGGGAGAATTGTTCTAGGAGTTCAAGACCAGCCTGGGCAACATAGCAAATAAATAAATAAATAAAAGCAACAAAACTTTATTATGAGCATTATCATGCTTGTTAGAGATTATCTGGTCCAGTGGTTCTCAATCCTGGCTTCACACTAGAATTACCCAGAGAACTTTTTGCTCTCTGCTTTGAGGGTTTTTTAAAAATACTGATGTCTGGGTACCCACCACATGAAGAAATAAACGCGAAGCTTGTGATCAGATATTCCGGAAATAGTTTTATGTCTGTCCCCAGGAACCTGGTCAGTAGGACTAATTTTGAGACCTTGAAAGACAGGATTATCGCCCTCTGCATACCCTCAGTCCTACTCCACACTGAATAATTTAGAGCAAGGCTCTTCCACTTTTAATGTGTGTAAGAATCGCCTGGAGACTCTTGTTAAAACATAGATTCTGATTCAGCATGTTGGGGTGAGGCCGGAGATTCTGCATTTCCATCAAGCTCCGGGGTGATACAGAAGCAAGGATTTAGAAAGCCCTAGCGAGGGGTTCATCTGTGAAAACAGGCACTCTGAGTATGCTGTGGGCGCCTGTGTCTTTTCCCCTATAGCCTGGGAACTTGGAGAAGCAGAGAAGCTACAGTTGGAGGTAGGGAAGTTCCCAACAGTAAGTGCTCAGCTCACCTGATAAGCAAATGCACCGAATGAGCAAAGAAGAATGAAAGAGACCCACTGAAAGAAAGAAAAGACCCATGGGGAGGGAATTTTATTTTAGCGCAGTGTGGGTCAAGAGATTTTCCAAATGGAACGCTAGATCGCAGAACAGCATTATAAAAAGGACTCGACTGCATCAATGAGAGTTCATGTGTGTTTGGAACCAATGTGAAGGGCGGCTTTGGGCTCCCCTTGACCCTGACCTTCCCTCTAATGCAGATCACATCTTTTATGCAGCAAAGGGGAGATCTAAGCCTGACAGCTGTCCGTGGGAAAATAACCTGAGGGCTTCAGTACAATGAGCTCAATTTAAACACCAGTGATTTGCAAATTTAGTCTGACATAATAGAAATATATCGTCAAGTTAGAGGGCATCAGGGTCCCATGGAACAGACCACGTCTAGAGTATTGTGTTCAATTCCAGACAATTTGTTTCAGAGAAGATTAAAAGCTATCTTGTACTGAACTGCCTTCGGTTGCCAGGCACTGTTCCAAGCTTTTTACATGTATTAATGTATTTAACCCTCTCTATAACTCTATGGGGTAAGTACCATCATCACTCACATTTTACAGATGAGTAAACCAAGGCTCAGAGAGGTTAAGGATTATACCCAGGGTCACACAGCTGGTGAGTGGGAAGCCAGGTGCAAACCCAGGCAGACGGATGACAGATTCTGTATTTCCCCCATCGGGTCATACAATCTCCCCATACTCGCCTGACTCTTGAAACAATGACAAACAAGTGAACCCAGAAAGGGACAGCCAGGATGTTGAACTGGTACCACCGTATGGAAGTCAGAAGGGAACTTCAGCTCAACACTAACGAAGGATACAGGTTGAAACTGTCCACAGCAATAGAAAAAGCTGCTTCCCAGGGCAGTGGTCCTAGTCACTGGGGGCTTTCAAGCAGTGGCCGGTTGACCACGTGCCTGAGACACTAGAAAGGTGTCTGCTATGTGAGAGAAGAGCTGAACCAAGTGAAAGATTACTTTCCAAGGCTGAGACTCTCAGTCCCTCCCCCATCCTGGTCTTTCCATCTGGAAAAATAGACTCTGACACCAGAAGCACAGTGTCTATAATGAGCTACATTAAGCCCGGATGTGTCCACTGATTCTGGTGTGTGTGATGGAGAGAAAGTGACAGCAATGCCCAGACCAAAACTTGGCCAGAGCCAGGCTCAGTGGCGTGCACCTATAATCCCAGCTACTCAGGAGGCTGAGGCAGGAGGATAGCCCAGGAGTTCAAGACCAGCCTGGGCAATGCACCAAGACCCTGTCTGAAAAAAATTTTTAAAAACCTGGCCAGAATGCCTGCAATTTGAGCCAAGGGAAGAGTTGCGGGAAATATGTAAAGGAGCTGCTGCTGCTGACACCTCACTGTTTTCTGACCTGTTATCTCCCGAGGTTCTTGGTTCTTGTGGGAGTGATAAACTCCTCTAAGCCAGCTGAAAATAGCTCGCTCCTTCTCAAAGAAATATTTAAGGCCAGATGCAGTGGCTCATGCCTGTAATCCCAGCACTTTAGGAGGCTGAGGTAGGCGGATCACCTGAGGGCAGGAGTTCGAGACCAGCCTGACCAACATGGTGAAACCCCATCTCTACTAAAAATACAAAAATTAGCCGGGTGTGGTGACACATGCCTGTAATTCCAGCTGCTCCGGAGGCTGAGGCAGGAGAATTGCTTGAACCTGGGAGGCAGAAGTTGTAGTTTGCTGGGATCATGCCGCTGCACTCCAGCCTGGGCCACAGAGTGAGCTTCTATTTCAAAAAAGGAAGGAAGGAAGGAAGGAAGGAAGGAAGGAAGGAAGGAAGGAAGGAAGGAAGGAAGGAAGGAAGGAAGGAAGGAAGGAATTAAAAATATATAGAGTTAATTATAAAATGTATAAAAGACGTTCAGTGTTTCCTAATCCAAATAGCACTGCAGACCAGTACCTTATCCATATGATCAGAGTGCCCCAGAAGTGAGTGACAAAGCCACATCTCCAAGAAGGAAAGCAGAGAAAGACAGACAAGACGTGACCCAACCTCACCCTGCCAATCCTTCGGCCAGTGACTGGGAAGCCGGGATCCTGGCTCTGAGCCAGAAGGTGGAGAAACAAGCTGAAATGTAGCCCAGGAAAAGGCGTGGGTGTGAGAGTTCCCACAAAACCGGAGTTGCAGCACCTCATCCCTTGCATGTCACCCCCACCCCAAGCATAACGCCTGGGGAAGGTGGGGAAGGCAACTTACCAAGCACCAACTCTTTCAAGGCACTATGTTAATTGCTGTGGGGAGATACACATTTATCGGCGAGAAAGACATGTGGATGGGATATTTCAGAACAACTTCTATTTCCAACTGGCTGATTCAGCCAATTAAATGACACTTTTACAAATATAACTTAATAAGTATAAGTGTTGATGACTTTGGCCTTGGTTCTGACAACACCAAATCTGGAAGATGCTGGGCCCGATGGGGATGCTCTCTATTCTGAGACAAGGAAGTCCTCCCTGAGGTCTAGACATGCTCTGTCTCCACACTTTCCACTCTACCTCCTCCCTGCCAGACTTTCCTAACAAGGAGGCCAGGACGGCTTGACCACACACAGCCCCTCAGAAGGTGCCTGAGATTCCCCTGTGCCTGCCAGCCCAGGCTTCCTTTCTCAGCCCTTCTGCCCCACTCCCTTTCAGGCTCTTTCCCACTGAGAAGCCTCTCCACACTCCCCACTTCTGCTATGCCACTCTTCCAGAGGTCTCAGGTTCTCTTCTTCCCACCCTGCTCAGATCTGGATTCCACCACAAGGCAGATGTCACAGGATCTCCCCGTTCCCCTCTCTTAGCACCCACGTGCACTGTGACCTGGGTTCAGCCTCACCCACAGCACAAATACTGGAGAGCTGGTAGAGGAGGGGACACTCTACAGTTCCCTGAAAAGAACAGCAGGGGCAACATAGACTCCTCCTGTCCCCTCTTCCCCCACACTATATTCTGCTCCCACACCCCACACCCCTCCCCCTCCCTGACCCGGAGCAAGTCCCTCCCAACAAAGCCACTGGAGCAAACCCTCCTTTCTCTGCTGAGTCACTTGACCTTCATGGTAAGAGACCAGAGGCCCTGGGGAAAATCAGCTCACCCAACTTAAAGTCGCTCTCCACGCTCACATCTGAACACATCTGAAAAGAGTAGAGGGAAGTACAGGGAAAATACGAGAATGAGTGAAGCCCAGCTGCTAGCTACCACCAGATGGTTAAGCTGGCTTTAAGGAGGACGCTGGGTTTCTGGATGCAGAGAAGGCCTGCTCTGCAAAGGGAGGCTATGGCCCCTAGAGGAGCTGCTGCCCATTAGACAGCCACCTCCTCAATCGCAGCTGGGCGGCAGGGAGCAAGGAAGGCTGCCGGCACTGGCTGTGGTCTCTGATTCTCCCTCCGCCCTGGCTCTGCCGCTAAGCCCTGCCTCAGCTGCTTTGTGACTTGATTTCTGCATGCTCTAATGGCCCCCTTGATTATACCTAGAGCAGCTGACAGGCCCTCTCTGTATGCATGGGAACATAAGAGCGGCAAACACTCACTCTCGCCCCTCCAGAGGAGGCAGCCTCTACTGCCTGCCTCTTCCAGAACACGGGGTCTGGGTACCTGTGGGAGGTGGCCAGCCTTGCAGCCCTGAGCCACCACAAATGAGCCATGACCACAGGGGAGCCATGACAGGGTGGAATCAAATACATAACCACACCCCCACACCTCCGTGTCTCTTACTGGCTGATACATGCCCGCACTCACAGTTGGGTCACTCAAGGGGCAAGAAGACAGCTGGGCAGGAAACATGGAAACATCCATAAATTCTAGTTCCAATTCCCCCCTCATTTCCCAATGTGGCCTTGGGTAAGTGGCCATCATCTCAGAAATGGGTTTTTCCAAGGTGATCAAAGGTCACCCTGGACAAGCCTTGGGGGAATACAGTATATTGAGTGGGTAGATGGCCGAGTATATGGATGCAGAGATTAGAGTGTCCAAGAAAGACACTCATGCAACTCCAGAGTGGAAATCGCTTCCTCTTGAAGCACTGGGCATGCTCGCCTTGCCGGCTGGTACCATCGTAAAGTACTGATTCTCCTCATCAGAAACCCACCACCTCCCCAGCCTCTACTCAGCCAGCTGGAGACAGAAACGTACATTCCACTTGAATTTGAGCAGAATTCCTAGTCACACACACACCGCCCTGGCCTGTAACACTGCATGTTACAGAGGCAGCAAGAACTGGAAATACCAAATCAAGAGCCTGGACAAGGCACCTTCTGACCGCTCTCATTTTTACAGTTGGAAATGCTGCTTAAAGCAGCGGGTGCTGAGTAAATTAACAAGAAACCTAGAGAGACAAGGACACAGCTAGAGCTGAAGCCTCTTGACCCTCTGCAGCCTCCTCCCCAAGCCATGGGCCCTAATTCAGCCATCAGCCACCCTCAGGCCTCCCTGGACTCAGGGCAAGTGGGGTAGCTCGAAGCTGAAAAGAGAATACACCCAAACAGCAAGGGAGTGTCTCCCAGCCATAAACGCCTTGCTGGTTCTGTTTGCAAAGGGCAAAGTCCATGAGGAAGGGAGAAAACAGTCCCAGCTACTGAACCCCACGCACAGGGGCCAACCCGGTCCTGAGAGATGGACAAACAGGCTAATTTCACACAGCACGGCTGAAAATGGGACCAAGCAGTGTGGATTCCTGCACATGCTCCTGCTTCTCATTCTGGGCCTTATCTGTATTTTATCACAATAAATATTTATAGGGTCAGCATTCAGCCTGGGTATTCCACAGCCACTCAAGGCCCTCCTGCTCCAGACACTCCCAACCTCAGCCACCATGCACCACATCCGCACTGCCGCCTCCCCCACCCCGCTGACCTTAGCCTGTACTCAAGGTCACACTTGGCAGGCATCCTGCTGACTGTCATCTCTGTTGTCAGATGGGAGACAGACAATGAGAAACTGGCTTCTCTGGGGACTGGTTTAAGGCTTTCCTGTCAAAAAACTTCCCAGAAGCCTGAGGCCTCTAGGCATGGCCCGGGCCCCTGACACCAAGTCTGCCCTCACAGGGAGGTCCAGTCGCTTGGCCGCCGGGAACAGCTTGTAGGGAGGGGTTAGCCTCAGCCGTGCAGCCAGCCCCACCCATCCTTCCCGGGTGACTCCCTTCAGACACGGAGGGAACACCCAGACTGCTTCAAGCTTAGCCTTCTCTTTCCGAAACTCTCCACAGCAGACAAGAGGAGCCTGAGTTCTGGGCCTGCTCCAGGCCCTCAGTTTTAAGGGGGCCAGGACAGACACTAGGATCTATTTGGATCTTGAGATCTCTGTTTCTCTCCATGTAAGAATGCTTGAGCTTTTGGCCAGGAGCGGTGGCTCACGCCTGCAATCCCAGCAAGTTGGGAGGCCAAGGCAGGCGGATCACCTGAGGTCAAGAGTTCAAGACCAGCATGCCCAACATGGCCAAACCCTATTTCTAGGAAAAGCACAAAAATATCAGCCGGGTATGGTGGTATGTGCCTAAAATCCCAGCTACTAGGGAGGCTGAGGCAGGAGAATCGCGTGAACCCAGGAGGCGGAGATTGCAGTGAGCGGAGATGGCGACGCTACACTCTAGCCTGGGCAACAGAGCCGGACTCCATCTAAATATATATATATATATCCTGTGTTCTCCTCACAGCAGGAAGAAAACAGGGCAGCAGATTCAGCAGGCTTAGGGGTGGGCCATGGCCCTGAGCAACAGACATCCCGGCTCCAGCCTTGGCTCCAGGACTTGCTGCCTCTGGCCCTGGGCAAGTCAGGAGACCGTTGAGTCTCAGGGACCTCACAGATCCGAGTGGCAAGAATCCCCCAGGTGACGGCACCCGGAAGGTGAGAGCAGCTGGAGGGCCTACGCAGACCTGGGAGCTTTAGCATGCACCCTCTCTCAGTGTTTCTGAAACTGAAAGAACTGACCCATCCATGAGTGTGAAAGCAAGTTGAAGAGTGAAGACTATCTTTAAAAATAAATATGTATGGGCCAAACAAGACTAGAATATGACATGTACCACTTACAGGAAGGGTAACAGACATGTGCTCCTGAAATGTATTTCTACTGGTTGCAGTCAGAAATTTTGATGTCTTACTTTTAAAATTTTCAGCCTGGGCACAATCGTTCATTGTAATCCCAGCATTTTGGGAAGCTGAGGCAGATGGATCACTTAAGCCCAGAAGTTCAAGACCAGCCTGGACAACATGGCGAAGCCCTGTCTGTACCAAAAAATACAAGTTAGCTAGGTGTGGGGGTGCGCGCCTGTAGTCCCAGCTCCTCGGCAGGTTGAGGTGGGAGGATGGCTTGAGGGAGGTCGAGGCTGCCGTGAGCTATGATCTCACCAGGACACTCCAGCGTGGGTGACAGAGTGAGACCCTGTCTCAAAAACAAAAACAAAACAAAACCCTTTCTTGCTCTTGCAGATATTCTCACCCGTGTAATTGCTTTCTGCCCTCCGCAGAGTGAGCTGGTAAACTCCTTGAGGTAAGAGCCATGGCTCTAATTTCTCAAGAATTCTAGCCATCCCACCACCATTCCCTCCCAGGGCTGAGCTCAGAGCCCGGTTGGCCTCTGGTTCAAGCTGTTCATGGGCTGGAAAGCAGCCACTGAATCAAAAGTCAATGTGGAAAGAGAGGAAGGAAACCCACCACTGACAGTGCCAGGCACTGCCGCAAACATGGGCCCTGGAGGTCCAAGTCCCCTCCATTTTACAGATGAGGAAACCAAAGCTCAAAGAGGTAAAGTTGTCTGGGAGGTGGGGGATGGGGGAGGACCAGGACTGACGTCTTGGTTTGGATAGCCCCTGGCTTTATCACTGCCAGGATTAGCTCTTGAGCCTCCCTGTCTAATCCCCCAAACATCCCCGGAGTCCCGTGAGGGCCAACGCAACTCACACTGCAAAACACATACACAAAGGGTTGGAAACAACACAACAGTCTTTCCTACCTGCCTTTTTCTGTCTTTCCCAGTCCCGTGAGGGAGAGAGGAGAGGGCTGTGCTGGGGGCATCTGGAATCTGTCTTCCTCCTTGTCCAGCCCTTGTCCTTCTCTGCCTCTTTTGAGGCTGACTTCCCCCAGCTCACCACCCTCCTCTCCCAACGCCAGCTAACCGGTTACCCGGGCAACCCAGCTGGGAGGCCGCCAGTTACCACGGCAACCCAGCATGGCCGCCAGGCTGCCTTGCTTAGGAAGGTCAGGGGACCAGCCGGGCTACCGAGCAGCTGGGATGCTGCTGGCAGGACTGGCCCAGGCAGGGGGTTGGGGTGTGGGGGGAGGTGGCCTACGTGCCTGAGATATCTGAGTTCCTGCTGTCAGGGGCCACCTTTCCCTTTGATATGATTCCCATGAAGCAGGCTCTCCCAACTGGGGCATGAACCACAAGCCATATTCCCGGGTTCCATCACCCTAGCCGAACCCAACCCCTCCCACCTTCTCTACAGAGTTCCAGTCACCTCACCTCCAGGAAGCCTTCTCAGACTAAGCAGCCACCAGCTGTCACTCAGCCTAACCCCAGGCCCTCTCATCCTCCTCCCTTTTTGAGCATATCGGGAGTCCACACGCATGCAACCCACATGTGTCTACATGTAAATGTGGTCCCTCTGTGAAACATTTTGGTAAAAATCATAAGGCAGATCTAATATTTTCTAGTCCTTACTATGTGCCTAGCATGTTGTATGTGACTTATATGAAGTTTCTCATTGAGAAGCAGCAGAGAGAGGGTGAGGCTGTGTAGGGACCAGCTTCCTGGAATTCCTTCAGCTCCTGCCCTCCCCAGGCTCTCCCCAGCAAACAATCCCTGGCCTGGCTTTAAGGAGACACTTTGAAGGAGACATTAAGTTATTAAGTTTCATCATACCCAACATGGTGAAACCCCGTCTCTACTAAAGATACAAAAATTAGCTGGACATGGTGGTACACATCTGTAATCCCAGCTACTCAGGAGGCTGAGTCAGGAGAATCGCTTGAACCGGGGAGGCAGAGGTTGCAGTGAGCCAAAATCATGCCACTGCACTCCATCCTGGGTGACAAAGCGAGACTCCACCTCAAAAAAAAAGTCTTCAGGCCGGGTGTGGTGGCTCATGCTTGTAATCCCAGGACTCCTAGAGGCCAAGGTGAGCAGATCACTTGAGACCAGGAGTTCGAGACCAGCCTGGCCAACATGGTGAAATCCCATCTCTACTAAAAGTACAAAAATTGGCCAGGTGTAGTGGCTCATGCCTGTAATCTCAGCACTTTGGGAGACCGAGGCGGGCAGATCACGAGGTCAGGAGTTCGAGACCAGCCTGGCCAGCATGGCGAAACCCTGTCTCTACTAAAAATACAAAAATTAGCTGGGCATGGCGGCATCCCAGCTACTCAGGAGGCTGAGGTGGGAGCACTTCTTGAACCCAGCGGGTGGAGATTGCAGTGAGCCGAGATCATGCCATTGCACTCCAGCCTGGGCGACAGAACGAGGCTCTGTCTCAAAGAAATAAAGAAGATTATCCAGTGCCCGACGTTTTCTTCATATTATTTTATTTCATTTCATCCTCAATTCTGCAAAGACTTTAGTTTCCTGACAGGATAGCTAAGGAAACAGACCCAGAGAAGTTAAGTAATTTTCCCAAGCTGAGACCCAGCTTAAGGTTCCTTCCTTGGGGAACCTCCTAGGAGAGTACATCCTTTTCTTTCTTGGCCACCAACATGCGTAGCATATGTCTCTATCATATACAGCACGGTCGTTAGCTCACTAATCTGCTCCCTTACAAGACTGTGAGTTTAAAAATCTATCTTTGACCACACACCTGTGTGTGGCTCACACCTGTAGTCCCAATACTCTGGGAGGCTGAGGCAGGAGGATCACTCGAGTCCAGGAGTTTAAGACCAGCCTGGGCAGCAAAGTAACACTCTGTCTCTACAAAAAGTAAAATAATTAACCAGGTGTGGTGGCACATGCCTGTGTTCCCAGCTAAAGTGGGAGGACTGCATGAGCCTGGGAGGTCGAGACTACAGTGAGCTATGATAGTGCCACTGCATTCCAGTGTGGGGACAGAGTGAGACCCCATCTCGAAAATAAATACATCAAAATAAAGGTTCATTTTTGTAACCTAATACCTGCCTGGTACATAAGGAGCATGCAGTAAGCATGTGTCCAAAGAAAATGGTAGTGCCAGGCTCCCAAGTCCTACCCACCACTTAATTCTGTGCTGTCTCTACCACAGCACCCTGTCTCATTCACTCAGCCAGTCAAAAAGCAGTTACCAAACAACTATGTTGTGCCTGGGTCTGCGTGAAACATCACAGATACACAGAAGGCAAATCAGACCATCTCTAGCCTCAGAGAAGTACAGCGGAGTGAGAGGCAAGGCTGAGGAGAACAGGGAATAAATTCCCCACCACTGCCCCCATCCAAGGCTTTCTCGTGAGTGTTTCTCTGTGCCTGTTCTTTGGGGCCTAACCTTCCCATCCAAAGCTTCATATATCCAACCAGCATTTGTGAGCACCTACTATGTGCTAAGCACTGCCCTCTAATCACTCATTGAAGGGGAGAGTGGGCAGGATTAGAAAACAATGGAATCAGGAATTACTGGACAGTAGAGAAGTGATTGAGAAGGTCAGAGTCCAAGAAGCAGTGGGCAGGGCCACTGGGAGCACATGGAGAACTTTAAAGCGCTTTCACATTTGATGTGATCGTGGACTTTCAGGTCGCATTGCTTTGTACTCAGACCTACATCCTACACTAATTCATTTGACCCTTGGTGAGGAGGGCAGGGTGGGAATTATTATTATTATTACACTGAGACAGAGTCTTGCTCTGTCACCCCAGGCTGGAGTGCAGTGGCGTAATTTTAGCTCATTGCAACCTCCGCCTCCCAGGTTCAAGCGATTCTCCTGCCTCAGCCTCCCCAGTAGCTGGGATTATAGGTCCACGCCACCACACCCAACTAATTTTTGTATTTTTAGTAGAGACAGGGTTTCATCATGTTGGTCAGGCTGGTCTTGAACACCTGACTTTGTGATTCACCTGCCTCGGCCTCCCAAAGTGCTGAGATTACAAGCGTGAGTCGCCGTGCCCGGCCAGGGTGGGAATTATGATTCCCATTTTAGAGATGAGGATACTGAGGCTCAGAAGGGAAGAGCATTGGGTTAGGAGGAGGAAATCTGGGTTCTAGCCCTACTTGTGATTCTAACAGGTCTCAGCACTATGCCTCTATCACCACACTCCCATTCTTACCCCCCCCCCCCCACCAAAGCAGGTTTTTCTTCCCTGCTCTGATCCCCAGTGAGACAAGCCTGGTTTCAAGTGAGCTCAGCAGGCTTGCTGGATAGCCTGGATCCAGTCCCTGGATAGTCCATTGCTGCTCCTGTGGTCCCAGGAACCAAGCAACACCAGAACAATGAGCGCACTACCTGAGGCTAGGCAGAACTTAACAGGCTAATTGCAAGCACTTGGCTAATTAAAAGCAAACGGGCACCTGGTCATGATGGACCAGATTGGGTAGACACAGTGATGGTGACCTCAGAGCTCAGGAAGGACCTCACCTCCACCTAGGCCGTCTCACTACAGGAGTGGAGTTCCAACCAACCCGAGGAAGACATAGCTGAATTCAGGGTGGACCAGCTACCCTGACGCCTCAGCATGGATGCATGCGTATTACATCACCTCCAGCTCTACTTCCTGAATTCACACAGTGAGGACCAATTCTCTACAGAGACTAAGTGGGTGGCCTGGGAGGATTTGACAGTATCTCTGAATACCAGCTACCCTAAACACATTTCCCACCAATCCACCTCAGCACTGTCTGGCCTTTGAGTTAAAGCCTTGCCTTCTGAAATATGATGTTCAGTAACTGACATTTGTGTGATTACTCTCAGTTTACACAGCGTTTCCATGTATTTTACTCACCTAGGTATTAGCTAGGTAGGTGATAGTGATACTAACCCCAGTTCTCAGGCTAGGAAAGGAAAGTTCAGAAAGATTAAGTACCTTGCTGCAAATCATATGGCTACTATTTGGGCCAGGATTTGAACCCATGTCTTCAAATTCCAGAAGAGCCCTTTCTCCATGACCACAGCAAGAGCTAACACATAATCATAATTAGTTTATCAGATCAGCTTGTGCTACTTTAGAAAGTGCAGAGGTCTCATGGGAATGAGAAATGCTGGGTAGATTTGACAAAGGAGGAATAAAGACAGGAAGTGCACATGGCCATGCAGGGGCGTGGACAGGGGCTGGAAGAGTACCAGCTCCAGTGGAGTATCCTCTAAACCAGGAGGCACTAGAGGCCCATCTCCCTTCATCCATGCACCTGCCAGAGGAAGCCCCAGCAAGTGTGCCATTCCAGGGGATTATCCTGGAGGAAGTGGCTGCCTTGGGCATGTGTGTGGCCACCTCACCACATTCTGTGCCAGTGAGGCCACAGTTCACGTGGAGGCCCCAGGAGAGCTTGAGAAAGAACTTGAGGGTCTTTGGAGGAATAGGGGCACTTAGCCTTGAACAAGGAGACTTGGAAGGGTTTGGAGGGAGGGAGATGATGATACCTATCTTCAGATATCTATGCTTCTCATGCCAATCAGCAAGGTAATAATAACAAACACATTTCTCACTCTACTCAGCAGGATTCTATGTGCTTTGCATATGTAACCTCATTTCTCTTCACAGGAAGCTTATGAGATAGGTAGCATCATCTTCATTTTACACACGGAGAAACTGAGGCACAGAGCGGGAAAGCCACTGTTCGCATCATATCACTGGTAAATGGTAGATTCCAGCTTCAATCTGAGTTTGACCCCATAACTGTGGTTGGCTGGTTGGTTTTGATTCAGAGTCTTGCTCTGTAGCCCAGGCTGGAGTGCAGGGGCACAATCTCGGCTCACTGCCACCTCATCTCCTGGGTTCAAGAGATTCCCCTGCCTCAGCCTCCTGAGTAGCTGGGATTACAGGAAACCACCACCACACTGGCTCATTTTTGTATTTTAGTACAGATGGGGTTTCACCATATTGACCAGGCTGGTCTCCAACTTCTGGCCTCAAGTGATCTGCCCGCTTCAGCCTCCCAAAGTGCTGGGATTACAGGCATGAACTACCGTGCCTGGCCAACTGTGATCTTAATGACTGCACAAACTACCTTTTAAGAAAAGCCAAAGACTTGAACAAATATGCTTGTTATATGGACATATTATATATTGCATTGCTATTAATATGGACAATCTCACATTTGAGAAGTCTCTTTTTAAAAATTTTTATATCTTAATAGGCACCATGGCTCATGCCTGTAATCTCGGCACTTTGGGAGGCTGAGGTAGGCGAATCATCTGAGGTCGAGAGTTCGAGACCAGCCTGACCAACATGGAGAAACCCCGTCTCTACTAAAAATACAAAATTAGCTGGGTGTGGTGGTGCGTGCCTGTAATCCCAGCTACTGGGGAGGCTGAAGCAGGAGAATCGCTTGAACCCAGGAGGTGGAGGTTGCGGTGAGTGGAGATCACGCTATTGCACTCCAGCCTGGGCCACAAGAGCAAAACTGTCTCAAAAAAAAAAAAAATTATATCTCACTCCCAATCAAACAAATGGATTGAAACAATAAATTAAAATCATGAAAAAAGTTGTAATACTCAATGTTGATGCTCATGTCACAAAAATCCATTCTCAGACACGGCTGTTGGGAATGTAAATTAGTGCTTTTGAACAAGGAATTTGGGGAAATATTTTAATAATGTAGCAATTTTACTTCTAAAAATGTAACTTAAGGGAAAAAATTATTGATATGTGTGAAGATTCAGATATTTATATATTCATTGTAGCCTTGTTTATAAAAGTAGAAAATTGGAAATACCTAGTTTAACATAGGGATTGTATCGACAAATTAATCGAGTAAGCATCTAATGAAATATGAGGCAGTCGCTTTAAAATGACGCTGTAAAGGCTACATGCAGTGGCTCACGCCTGTAATCCCAGCACTTTGGAGGCCGGTGTGGGTGGATCACTTGAGCCCAGGAGTTCAAGACCAGTCTGGCCAACATGGAGAAACCCTGTGTCTACCAAAAATACATAAAATTAACCAGGTGTGGTGACACGCACCTGTAGACCCAGCCACTTGGGAGGCTGAGGTAGGAGGATCGCTTGAGCCTGGGAGGTCAAGTCTGCAGTGGGCAGAGATTGTAGCACAGCACTCCAGCCTGGACAACAGAGCAAGGCCCTGTCTCAGCTGACAATAATAATAATAATAATAATGCTGTGAAAGAATGTTTAATGATATAAAAAAATGTTTCCCGTTTAAGTGACAATAACACACATCTGGTTCATGATTTTAATGGTGTATATATATATATATATATGCATTATGATGATAAATATAGTCATATGTTCATGCACAATTCATAAAGGTACATATATACCAAAATTAAAATTATATATCAAATCTATGGGTCATTCTTAACTTTTCTTTATATGTTTTTCTACATTTTAAGTGACTATATATTACTTTTATACTCACAGAATAGTAATTATTTTAATGTATACCCTTCATCACATTAATTCTATGCCTTGGAATATACCCTAAGTCACCCAAAACACAGAAAGAGGCTGATGAACAAAAACGTTCCTCTCGTGCTATCTATAAAAGGGAAATAAGACGACAACCTAAGTGTCCAACATGGAAATGATCACATAGAATCGATTACAGCCACACACTGACTATCACACACTATTTTAATCAGAAGAAAACTACTTTAATCACCATGTAAAAAAAGAGAGGTGACTTGTTCCACGCAGCTTCAGAGACTCGGAACCAGAGGGTGGAACTTAGAAGCTGACAGATTTTGATTCAATATAGAAGAATGTCCTGACCACAGGAAGCTGCCTTGCGAGGTAACGAGCTCCCTGTCACTGGAATTATGCAAGTGAGACTGCTGCTCCTATCAGGGAGGCTGAGGAAGGCTCATCTGGCTTGGAGGGAGTCTGGACTAGATAGTCTCTGAGGGGCATCTGAAGGTTGTGGGTGCTGAGTGGGAGCCTCCTGAACAGAGAGATGGCCCAGGAAAGGCTTCTCCTCAGCCTACCCTCAGCTTCTTTTCCTCCTGCTCCCACTTCCTCTAAATGTCTCCCAAAATAGTCCTTTTTTTCTCCCTGAATGTGCTTTAAGTGGCTAGAGACTGGCCTGCTCAAGTCCCCTCATTAAGCCCTGGCTTCCAGAGCCCCTTCGCCTCACCAGAGAGCTCAAGGAGTACAAACCCTGCAGCTCTCCTGTGAGGCCCAGCCCCACGGATGCGCCAAGACCAGTGCCAATGACCTCATCAAAATTTCACAAGAGGCGGGAGGAAGACCATGAAGAAACTGGCCTGAGGAACCACAGCCTGTTCAGCAGCAGTTGACACCATGCTCCCGGCTTCTTCACTTTGGCCCAGGCCAGTCCCCTGGCCAAGAGAGCTCGCTCTGTGAGCCCACGGCTGCAGGCTGGCCCTGGGTGAGGTGGGAGCTCTGCTCTGATGTCAGCCCGGGAGCCAAGTGGCTGCCTCCCTCACTGAGTGAGGGATCAGTAATTATTTCATTTACAACAAGCAGGAATAACCCAACTCAATAATCCAGGCAGACACATTCAAAGTAATTATTTGTGTAATGCATCCTGCACCATCACCTTCCTAGGAAGGAGGAAAAGAAGCCGAGCCCCGAAAAAATGGGGGACCCCATTATCTGCAACCTGTGTGCCACAGCCCGCCAGGATTAAATACACACCAGCGCTAACACATTTATCACCTCGCCACTGCTTGGAAAACCATGGGCTTTTAATAATTCATATCTGCGGCCCGACACTCTGCGCCCTTATGCGGAGACACAGAAACCCTCTTGTTTCCATAAGGAAAGCCCAGTGGCAGTGCCAGGCGGGGCGCCCTCAGCCCCTCCCACCACCCCAACCTGGAGACAGGCCCAAGCCTAGGCCGCCCCCACCTCCTCTTCACCAGCAGGATCTGCTCATGTCCTGCCGAAGCTAAGACGCAGCTGCTCGGGGGTGAAAGCTGGCGACGGAACAGGCCCAGTCCCCCTCCCCAGCTTCATGCTCCTCCAGGGTGGTCTGGAAGCCAGGATTGGGGAGATTGGTAGGGCAGGTGCCCGCAATGCCCTGCACCTTCCCAGACAGCAGGCTCAGGCAGATACCTGCCAGCCAGGACCCTGCCCCAACACGCAGGAGACACTCAGCAGAGTGACCACCCAAGTGATCAGATTGGGAGTAAGGGGTCTCTACAGGCCTTAGGGAACAGCCTCCAATTCCTGAAGGCTGAAACCTCCTGACACCAGCTCTGAGCTGCAACCTCCTCCCCACCACCTTCCACCCTCCTGCAGCTCTCCCTCTGCACCCTGTGCCCCGAGACTGGCTCTCCCTTTCTCCTGGTTCTCCATCTCTACTCTCCCTGGCTCCACAGCCCCTTCCCTGCCCTGGCTAGCCTGTTGTCTCAAGGAGCATTTCCCAGGAGCCTCTTCTCCCTTCTCCCCACCTCCACCACTTTCCTGTCTCGCCCCCTTTCCTCCCCGTCCACTGTAGCCCTCCTTACCCCTCCCTGGCCAGTTCCCCAGTCATCCTCCTTTCCCCAGACTCCTCACACAAAGCCCCCGAGGCTCATAGTGGGCCGCAGCCCGGTCCCATCATTATAAATGCCATCCCCTCACTCCCTGCCCCCTCCACCATATACCAGGCTCCAGCTCCTTCAGAAGCTCCCCAGTAAATCTGAGACCCGCAGAGCTCAGATGCCTCCTAGGAATTGGAATCCAAGAGTCTCTATCACCCTGCATCCCAACCTGACCCATAAGAATGATACACACCCTGACCCCTCCCCACACTGAGGAAGGTGAGTCCCTGGGGCTGACCTGAGCCTGACCCTGGACCCTCTCCATCCCTCCTTCCTGCTGGCAAAATTAAAGGGAGGGTGGGCTGGCCTCTCTGTGCTAGCCTGCCTGGGGGACCCCTGCGGGACCCTAGGAAGCTGCCAGCCCAAAGCTGCCCTCATCCAGGAGATGCAGTTTAAATGTAATCAATTTAAACAGCATCAGCCCTGACAGGGGACTCTGGAGGTGGGGGTGGGGGCACAGAGAGGGCTATAATTAGCATTCTCAGCATCCATGATCCCCAAGTAAGGCTGCCAAGGATGAGGGATGGGGAAGCCAGTGCACCGCAGTGCAAGCAGCCAGGCTCACGCGGCAGACAGGCAGCTGCCAGCCCTGACCAGAGCCCAGCCTTCCTCCTCCCACCTCATCTATGTGATGCATGAAAACAGACTCACCGGCTTCTGAGGTGCGATCCCCACGCTGGAAAGCTCTAACTCTGTGAGCCCCAAGGTACCCCTCCCCGCAGCTCAGGCCAGCTGGGGTCCTCCTCCCCTGCCCCTGGGGCCCCCTTCTGCAGAGCGGGGCTCCGGATCTAATCTGATCTAATCAGTCATCTCTCCGGCTGGCAGGTCCCTGGCGCAGGGAGAGGATGCTGTTGTGGTTACTGCAGGATCCAGCATCTTTCCCAGGCAGAGGCAGCTGGGCATGCTCCATCGGCTCCCCCGGGGATTTCAGGGCCACGTGACTCTCCCTCCCCAAGCTGTCACTTAGGATCAGGAGTAAATAGTCCCCGAAAAGGTTTAACTCCATCCACACCAGCGACAAGCCGCTAACCATCCACACAGCCTGCCTGCCTGGGAGAGGATGGGGTGGCTCAGCACAGCCTCCTGGCCCTTTCATCACCGGGATAAGGCTGCCCCCCAAAGGGAAGCAGGGCCACCGTCTGGGCGAACTGCATTCTTAGAGTCCCCCACCAGAGACTGCAGGGAGCCAGAAACTGCCCAGGGGAATCATGTGTGGGGCCTCGCCCAGCCAGCCTGGTGGTCACCTTTCGGCTCTGTGGCTGTCCACTCCAGAGAGGGGCACATCTCTAGGTGTCAAGAGGGCTTGGCTGGGGACCCAGGGCCTCCCCATCCCCCACCCCCACCTCAGTGCAGAGAATTTAGAGAAATAACATTTGGAGAGGGTTGGCACCCACGAGGAGATGCCAGGATCTTCTCCTAGACCTCAACCCAAACTGGTCCCTGATCACCTTGAGCAAGGATGCCAGCCAAGCTGCGGGGTACCTGGGTTCTGCATTATTCAGGGTCAGAGGCAGAAGGAAGGGCCTCCGAAAATGGAGTCGCAGTCCTGCTTCTGCTTAAACAAAGATTGCTTTCTGCCTCGGTTTCCCTCTATCCACGGATTCTGTGCGACAATGGGCAAGTGTCAGAAAAACACGATTTCATGAACAGGATCAGAAAGATGGAAAAAAAAAAAGATTCCCACCTAAACCTCTAGGCAGGCTCACTGGTCTCCATCCCCCCTGCCCCTTAAACCTGGAAACTGGAGACTGGACCAGATGAGCTTCTGGGGTCACTTCTGAATACAGAACTATGTCAAGAAGTGGGGCCTAGAGAGAGGGTGTCTGCAAGGCCACGCTCACATGATAATTGCTTTTTTTTGTTTATTGTTAGAACAACTTGATTAGAAAATTAAGCCTCTCCC